GGCTGGATTCAAGGATGTTACGATGTAAGGAGTAACACGATATTCCCAATCCGGCGCGGAAGCTTTAGAAACGAGATAAAGAAGGGCTCGCGAGCGCAATAAATTCCCGGGTTTCCTCCTCTCCCTCCTACCCCGTCATCAACGCGTTTCACATCCACTGCCATCGCGCAGCCTCATCGTAAATCCGAAGGAAGCAATGTCGACGCTGATCGAAATGAATTTACTGTTTACCCGCGGCCGCACCGGTGCGATACGATTCAAGAGTATGAAATATAGCTCGCTCGCGATACCACGAGTCGCGGTTTAGAAATCATTTCCCTCCCGCATCCCCCCGCGCCGTTCCGTCCTCCCTCCCCGCCGGCGCCGCCGCCGCCGTCGCTGCACACCCCCGATGCCACCCCGTTCATGGCTATATCGATGCCGGGATGTGACGGCGACCGCGGAATACGAACGACTAGAATGGACGTGTCGGGAATTAATCTCCAGCCGAGCTCCAAAGCGAATTGTCTCCCGCTCGTTTTTCCCCGTGCTGAAACTCCGTGGGGGCTACGCGGGGGTAGCAGTCGCGTGGACGCCCCGACGCTCTCGGAGCGTAGAAAACGTCACCGCGCGCGCTATGCAACGTCATCGGTTCGAAAGTTACAGTCGCTATTAGTTATCGATTTTGTCGTCGCCGAGGCCCGTCGCTCGTAACCATCGCTCGTGACGATCCGCTCGGACGCGAGAGTATCGGCGTCTTGTCTTCCTTTAACGAACGTGGGAGGTTAACCATCTGCCCTTGCAATTGGAAGATTCACGATACACGATAATCATCCTCGATTATCTTACGAGTGCAACGCGCACGGAGAGAATATTATAGTTTCTTTGTTTTTTTTTTTCATATAAGTTCTTTTCAATTTCGCGCTATATTTTTAGTAGTACAGTTAGTAAAATCTATCTTCCTAAGGAACGTGGTAAATAAATATAAAATAATAAAAATAAAAATAAAAATAAATTTCGCTAGGAAGGATCTTGCAAATTTTACTGAAAACATAGTAGATGTTTTAATAGCATGTTTCAGTTCCTGGAATATAAGTAGCACACGTTAAATGAAAGGATAGAGTAAATTACTTCAGATTATGTCAATCTATTTCTTGGCTAGAATTCTATAGTAATTTTTATTATAAAATTTTCTCCATACACCGATAATAGCAAATATACTGACAAAAAGATACTTGATAATTTATTTGTGGTATATAAAGTTTATATCATAGAAATTTATTTCTATGAAAAATAAACTTTATATTCCACAAATAAATTCTTAAATATTTTTTCTCAGTATTGTGTCTCAAAAAATTTTGATTATAAACTTTTCTACACAGAAAAAATGTTGTTGTGTCGATAAAAATAGTCAACTTCGTCATAATTGGAACATATCTCTCGATATTAATATTACTGATACTCGAATTATTAAAACAATGCATGATGTAACAATAATATACATTATACGTATGTAATAATACGTAACGTATTAGGTTGTCCAATATAAGTTTGTGTCGTTTTTATTCCATTTATATTTTATAGTATTTTTTGTTTTCATTACCTGTTTCCTTCGAGAACGGTATACTGAGAAAAATACTTCGAAATTTATATGTACGCGACAAAAATTTATTTCACAAAAATAAACTTTATTTGATGAATATATTATTAATATCTTCATTTTTGTTGGGAAACACAAAAATTCTTTAAATTCAAAAAACGGTATAAATTTATTTGACAACCCAATATAATGTATACATAAATATTTAAAAAATGAAAAAATATCTATTCAGCGAGTACTAATAACGTACTTATATATTTAAGTCTAATTTCTTTTATTTAAAGAAAATAAAATATATAAGTCCTTTAAATAAATTCCTTTATTTAAATAGAATAAACAATTGCTTTCATGAAAAGTTCAAGTTTAAAAAAAATAACTCCTTATTTGGAGAATATTTTATAGTAATGTCAGTGAATATGCTATCAGTATCCACCGAATAAATATTGTAAACTTCCTAAATATATTTTCTCTCGGTGCAATGTATTAGTTTCAATAATGTTGCGTTTTCGAATCAAAAAGATTTACTCCAATTATGACGTTCTATTGACCAATACTATTGACACAACAGCACTTTTTCTCCGTGCACTTTATGTAACTCCGCAAAACTCATTTCGCGCGGGATATGTGTCCCACGGAAGACCTACATTTAGCCGATAATTGAGCGGGCGTTAACTGATGTTAAGTGCGTTCTCGCAGGTCGTTTGCGCGCGATTCCCGGCCAAAGGATACGCGACATATAAACACGCGGATGAAAAGTGCAAATAGGCAGTCGCGCGTGGAGTTTTGCTTAAAAAGTTTACGCGTCCACAACATCATCAAGAGCTCATTCGTTCCTATATCCGACCGGTTATACGCGCGAACGATCTCATGAAATAGGCAGAAAGAGAAAGAGAGAGAGAGACAGAGCGAAAGAGGGAAGGAAAGAGAGAGAGGAAGGTAGAAAGAGAGAGAAAAAACGCTGCCCCGTTTACGTAGCAGCCCTCTTTACAGTCTGCGGAAGACGCGCGACCTTAAATTGCATTTGAATAAAGCAATTTGTGCACACGCCGTAATCCAATTCGGCCCTCTCGCTAGTTTTCGCTACGCGAAAGCACCGATAAATCAACCAGTTGCACGGCGCATCGGCCTCAGCACGCCTCTACGATGTAGCCATATGGCTTAATTTCGTTCGCGGCGCGCGCGCGCGGCACTTGGAGAAACCGAAAAAAAAAGCATCTCTCTCGCGTATCGCGAAGCTGACGCGTCGTGCCGCGCGGCCGATATTCACACGATAACAGCGAATTTCGCGATATCACGCTCGGAACCGAAATAACTTTACGGCCACTTTACGCGAGCACGGGCACTCGATTCGCTGTTATTTCCATTTGATGTTCATGAAACGAAATATAATCGCGGCAAACTCTGCGACTTATTAATCGCCGTTAAATATAATCAGTTTCCGCAAAATCATATTAATTGACATATTTTGCAGTGCGAAGTAAAGGCCCGACTTTACACAAATGGACTTTCATGGATTATCACGACGTGAGATCGTCGGTGGTGGAAACTTTATGGTTTGTTTAAATTACATTTATAAGAAATACACAAGTGTACTCTGTGTGCATTGAATTAATCATTAAATTTATATAATGGAAAAGATTTTTATATATTGATGTAACGATAAATTTACTAGAAATTTTACTGAGATTTTTATATTATATTTTACATGACATATTATTTTGAACAAATTTTGATAATCTCCTTCGTATTTTTATTTTGTCACTCTATGTGATAAATATGAATATCATATAAACCGTAAATCATAAGGATAATCTCCTATTTTTATTTCGTCACTCTATGTGATAAATATGAATATCATATGAACTATAAATCATAAGGACTGCAACCTTTACAACTATTAACTTCTTATAAGTTTATGGTCAATATTTTAACTATCTCACGTAAAGTTCAAAAAGTCTATTGTTTTACAAAATAAGACAAGAAAAAATTATAAACAAAGAACTTTGTCGGTAATTTTCATTATACAGATGATATATAATGGAAAACAGATCTGTAGGTACATAACTAAATAAATATTGGCCATAAAAATGTTCAAAAAATGAAAGTATGATATCTATTTATAATATGTAATATACTATATGTATCTACTTATACTATGTAACATAAATTAACATTTTTGTAATTTTTTTTACATGAGTGTAACTGCAAATACATCACATTAGCGCAAATAAACAAATTTTATGCAAAGTTCAAGTTTTAATTTACAAATATTTAAATAAAAAACAAATTTCCACAAATGGTTCAAATATTGACCACAAAACCTGAATGACTGAGCATTTCTCCTGAATAGATTGTGATCGATTTTTTGCCAAGCAACAATCATAATAATAATAAGTATTATAAGGTTTTTTATATTTAATATATTTGTCACATATATTTAAGTATGTCACGTAAACTTGTTCACAGATATATTTCACCACCTTTAAAAAAAGTTTTTGTCCTATAAAGGGTTAAAGTTTCCAAATATAGACTTTCATGATTATCATGACGAGAGATAATCAATAATGAGAACTCTACAATTTTGTTAATTACATTTATAAGGTAAATATATTATATTAATTATATATTGGCAAATATATTGAATAAGGTAAATATATTGAATTAATTATTCAATTTGTCTCGTAAGATAATATAAATTTTTTGTTATGTTAATGCAGCAATGAATTGTCTAAAAGTTATATTGAAATTTTTATATATTTTTTATATTGTTCTGAGCAAATTTCGATAATTTGTTACGTATTACTATTTTGTTACTCTATGTGATAAATATCCTATGTCATATAAGCCACTCATAAGAAATATCTTTACAAATTGTCTGTTAAAGTTCCCAGGTAGACTTTCATGATTTTACGACGCGAGACAATCGATGGTTAAAACTTTACAATATTTCTAATTATAGTGAAGCAAAAAGATGTAATGTATTGAATTAATTATTATATTTACATTATAGAATAATATAAATTTTTTGGTATATTGATACACAGCAATAAGTTTTTAAAAATTTTACATAACTTTTTTTTGAGCAAATTTTTATTATTCTTTTCCTTTGTACATCTACTTCGTCATTCTATGTGTAGTGTGTAAATATTGTAATATAAGCTACTCATATAAGAAAATATGACTTCATACATGAAAATAACTTTTACAAATCGATTAATAAAATTGCTGTCAAATTTATGTACACACTTATCTACCTGGCTGTTAAAAAAATTTACGTCCACCTGAGTATCGACTTCGATTTGAGTTCGATAAGTCAAAACAACAATCTTTCGACGCGAAGGACAAAATAGCGCTCTCTTCCCCCCCTCTCCCCCTCTTTCTCTCACCCTCTCTTTTTCTTCTCTTTATCTTGAATACTTACACGTTCGTTCTTAATTTCAAACAGTACACATACAGGCCCTTTAGAATTGTTAAAGAGCGCGACACGACGCGCTAAGTCCTAATGTAAAGTGTGTTCTGGCGCCACTCTTACACACACTTGCGATACACATTACGGCTTTAAAGAGCGTACGATGATGCGCGCGAGGAGCCGGCGGTTTATAGCAGCGCGTCTGCGTGAATGTGCGCGGAGGGCGCCCCGTTAAAGGGGTAATCGTTATAAATCGTCCTTAGAATGTCCCAAACGCGCAGCCCCCGAGTCCGCGGGAATTAATGGTCCTTTATCCGCGTTACGTCCGACTGATAGAAATAAACGTCGACCCGCGTTCCACGCGCGTTGGTAATTACTTCCCCTTCCCCGTCACTCTCCCTCTCTATCTCTTTCTTTCTTTCTCTTTCCCCTCCCCCTCTCTTTTTTCCTCTCTTTCATTGCGAATTGCGACATCCTTTCGACTTAATAGTTTCCACGGTTAACCGGCGCGGCTCTCCTTAGGATAATAGTATTATCGGATTTCTCTGTTTCGAGATTGCCGTGAGAGGAAGCGTAAAAAAATGCAATCAGAGCCGTAGCGAGAGCCGGACGAAACGCGGATTGGCGGCTACAGGGCCGCAGGGCACGAGGAAACAGCGCGAAACAGAAGTAAGGGCATTACCGAGTTACGGTAATGTTAAAGACCGAGAGACACAGATTAGCCGGGGGCGCCCGTTGAGCTGATTACGGCTCTGAATGTAATTTATGAACATCATTTCGCGGCCGATAAAAGCCGAGAGCCTCTCGTGAAACGGGTGCTTCGCATTTCGGCGCTCGGCTAACACGAGCGTATCGCCCTTGCGTATGCGCGGCTCTCCGCAAATTAAAAGCGACGAAAACGTAAACGCTCTCGCGGGACGTAGATTGGAGTCGTGTTTGAACGTGGTGCGCGTAAACGTAGCCATGACGTTCGCGTGGCCGTTCATGGCTCATAAGAACGGCGTGTAACATCACTATCCAAACAGCACGACGGAGAGAACAGGACGAGGGTGAGAACTTGTTCTCCCCTTGAATCACTTGCAAATCGGAGTTCGAGTGCTCCAGAAAGAGAGAGAGAGGGAGAAAGAGAGAGAGAAAGTAAGAGTGAGAGAGAGAGAGAGAGCTCGTCGATAAATGCCTCGCGGGAGCGAGGAAGCGGGAGACGACAACGTAAAGTAGACAGTCCAAGGCAGGTGAGACAGCTACGCTATTATGGAACAGCGCTAAGAAACATCGAACAGCCAAGAACCAGAAGCGTTACAAACGCGTGTGCTGTGTGTATGAGCGCGCGCGCGCGCGCGCGGGTGTGTATGTGTGTGTGTGTGTGTGTGTGTATGTAGTGTGTACCACGTCGAATACACACGTCCGGACGAGGTGTGTGTCGAGAGTGGCAGTCGAAACATCTATTCAGCCGAACATCTAGAAGGAAACGAGCGCGATCGCGAGACGTCGTCCCCTCGGCGCGGTCCAATTTCCAATGCCATTGTCGCGCGAAAGTGGTCCTTACGGCCGATCGTCGTCCCGTTCTCGCGCCTTTGCGCGGCATCGGAAAAGGAAAACACGCTCGCCCGGGTGACGACGCTTTCGATCCGTCCGAACGAAACACCAGAGGAACAGAACGTAAAGAGAGGGCGGGAGAAGAAAGAAAAACAGATGAGAGAGAGAGAGAGAGAGAGAGAGAGAGAGAAAGACAGAAGAGAGAAAGAAAGAGAGAGAGAGAGTGACAGCCATCTCACCGCCCGCCACAGCTCAAAGCACTCACTAAACGTCACGGGAGAGCACGGACAAAAAGGACTGCCGGTTGGTGGTGGTCAGTGTCGGTCAATTGTTGCTGTCTACGATTCGGGGCAAGTGTTCTACGGCCTGGGACGTGCTTTCGATAACCTACAGAAAGCACTGTACTCCTCTCTCGTGTGTCGTGTAGTACGGTCGCTCGACGTAGCGCCCGGACCGACGTACGCCGTGGTGCCACCTGACAGACTCCGGGAAATTCGAGAAAACGGCATTTCCTTCAGCCCATGCGCGAGAACTTTAATCGAATTTCGGCGTTGCAGCGCCGACAACGGGCGGGACGGCCTCGCTTCGCTGCACGCGATCGACTGTCGCGGAAATTTGAATTTTGCCGCGCACTCGCCCGGTCGCCCTTCCCGCCGCTCGAACGGCTTTTTCTCCGCGATTTTTCGTTATTATCAAGAAGCGCCGCTGCGAACTGTCGGGTCTGCCTTCTCGGCGACGACTCTTTCACACGGCGAGTCGTAATACGCTGTTATAATCGTTAATGATGACCCTCCACCTTTCTTCTCTCGCCAGTGTAAACAATACACTGATTCATCTCGTGCACAAACGATGCGAAAGAGCTTTGCCAAAAGGAACAAAGCCTGTTAATGCCTTATTTACTAATATTTCCCACATTTCTTAACAAGATTTTGTTTACGTCTTTCGTCTTGGAGATTTGTGTGTGTTTATAATTGTTTTCTAATTCACGAAACATGTGAATAACAAGAGGTTGTGTAAGTTCGCCATCTTTCGTCTTGATATTATAATATATTATTGTCTTTGACAAAAATCTGAATCTCTTACAATTTTTCTTTATACTTATTAAATAACACTTATTAAATAAAACAGTGAGTTAACCGTTAAACTGAGGGGGAGAGAGCTTGGAGACTTTGGAGAGACGAATTTTTGTATATTTCGGATTCGGAGAAGTTATCTTGTGATGTAGAAAAATAAAAAAATATCGATAAAATTGCGAAAATCAGCTGATTTGTGACGAATCGAGATCTTCGCGACGATACGATGCGACGTAAAAGAGGCTAATCAATCGCCATCTTACGAAATTGTATTTCATACGTTATGCAAAATCAATACAACAAAACATACAGATTTACAGATACACAATTAGCTTACTTCAAAGTAAAACACCAATGCCCATCTCATCTGATGCAAGCTGCGCCTCGAATACCCGCGACGACCGGCGCTAACTTTCCATTAATACGGTTTAGAACTCGGATGCATAAATTAACACGCGACACGAACGTTTAAGCGAGCGGAACTACCTTTTTTGTGCGCGCGACTGTGGAGTTCTTGCTCGTGAAAGGCGCGGGTGGCGCCACTCAACGGTGGAAGCGACAATTACGTGTCCGTTATCCACAGAGCGAGACGATTCAAAAACAAGCTGTAAATTTCGAAATCACGTCTGCGTGAATTGTTCACATATTTCCTACGTGATATATGTATACGTAATCGTTTTTCATGTAGAGAGAGACCATGTAAATTATGTAGAATATTACAAATTATATCAAAATATACGAAAACGAGTAATCGAATTATCTCAAGAAAAACAGAAAATCACGATTACGAGAAAGTTACGAGAAAGTGATTGATGCAAAAGGTAATCGATTGAAAAAGGTAAATTTTTAGTCACATTCACATCATTTTGATATCACCGTGATTTTCGTGTCAAAATAATGTCTTATGTTATTTTCACCAAGTAATGACGTAAATTTTTGATCAAAATAACGTCAGATTAATATTATTTTGACTGTTTGTTCTACCTGGATTCGATAAAAAAACGCATCTCCTGCGAATTACTAAAAAAACAAATTCTCTTATTAGCAACGATATGCGTTACGAAACTCATTGAAGGAAAGTGTGGTAATTTTTAATCAACTGACTGTAATTTTTTCATTGTTACAGAATTACGTCGACCAATTGGAGTTAAGAACGGGCCACTCACAAAAATACAATTAAAACTTTGACATGTATATATATATACTTGAAAAGCATTTATACTGAAAAAAAATTCTTAAAAATATATTTGGGATGTAAAGTTTATTCAGAAAAATAAACTTTACAAATTACATATAAATAAACTTTATACATTTCAAAAATAAATTTCCAAGTATTTTGTTCAGTATATGAATGCAACAGCTACCTTTATATTTCACATTTATCCGTGTCTCATATTTCCTAGTCTTTCTTAAACTTATGTTTTGTAGTATAGTATGCAATTAAAAGCAACACGAGTTTGAGTATATAACCATAGACTGCTAGCTGTTTATCTTATTTCCTGATAGTAAAATGTCAGTCGATATCTGTAACATCACCAGGATCAAACAACAGCCATTATCTGAACTATCATTGTACTTTTATTCCTATTTTATCATTTAAAGATTGTTTTGTTTCGTGACCAAGGAGCTCCAATACACATATAATGCGCTTTTAATGCGTATTCAATTACATTAAATACACATTAAAAGCGCGTTATACGCATATTGGCGCTCGTAGGGCATATATAGTAATATTATCAAAATATATGAAAAATATACTCGATATTATATCATATAATATATATATATATATATATATATATATATATATATATATATATATATATATATATATATATACTCTAACGGAACATGTACATTCTGAGAATGTTCGGAATATATCTGAACAGAATATTATTAATATTCTCGGAACATTCGACATACGTACTAAGATGTACTGAGTATATATTAAGTAAGTTCTTACTTCCGCCCTACAGT